TAGCTTCATAAAACTAACTCAACAAATTCTAGAAAGGGTTAGGCATGGTTCTGAACAGCCATTGTTCTGTAAAATATTCAGAGTTTTCATCTGCAAAATGCAATAAAAACTAAAATCTCTGAAGGAGTACCACAAGTTTAATATTTTACAGTTACATTTGTGCTTAACTAAAGGCAACACTAATGAATGACTGTATCCAACCCACCATTATATTTTGCAGTTTAATGCTTGAAGTTTTTCAAGTGAGGGTTAAAAACTTCACCCTCTATAATAGCTTGTATCTTAAATGAAAATCATCCCATATCTGAGAAATAATACGCAGGCAGCTGGCTAAATTCTAGGGTTTGCACAGCTGAATTTCTCCATACTGCTTGGAATGTCAATTATGCTTTAAGATGGGCTTCTAAAAAATAATGAATTCTAAGTTGTTACCACTATTCTGCATAATGGCCCAGTAGTTTGTTTTAAGAAAAAATTCTAATGAATATGAAAATGGAAAGTGCATGGAATTTGGAGGCAAGGGACAGCATATAATTTGTACAAGAAAAAAGACTTAAGTTATGATGCTGCAGATAAATTATCACAAAAGGCTCTTTTATAGAATCTAAGGATAACATTAAAGTATAGACCTGGTTTGCACAACACAACAGCCCACTATGATTTATTTTAATCACAGGGGATGCTGTGACACAACAGCTGCCTGCCCACACCATTTTTGCATTGGGCCTGTGGGTGCCCAGCTTATAGTGCCTTGTTGGACCAACAAATCCAAACAGGAGGAATTATTTGAGGGTTGGCCTTCCTCGAGTAACCCATGGATTGTTTTAGCTCATTGCAAGGCTGTCTAACCGTCAAATAACCCCTGCCATTCAGGTTCAAATGACATGACAGGCCACAGAAACATGCCAAATATGGGTCCCCTGGACATTCAGCATAATGTGGCAGCTCCATAGGTAAATTAACTATCATGATATACAAAACAAGCCACAGTTGATAAATTTCTGCCCACAAAATTTAAGACCAAATTGCTTGCCAAATGGAAAGAAATCTTCAGTGGCTAATATGTTCTGCTTCCTGAGACTTAGCCAAAGTAAAGTGAAGTGAAGTGAAGTGAAGTGAAGTGAAGTGAAGTGAAGTGAAGTGAAGTGTTGTTGTCTGATCTGTGTACTTTAGGAAACTCTAGAAGTACCATATATACCAGCATATAGAATGACTCACATGTAAGAAGAGATTTTTTTAGGCTGTTCTTCTGGTGTTTACCATATGCCGGGTGTCTAAGATGACCTCCAATTTTTCCTTCACTATTTTCCATTTCA